CCCCGCCTCATGTACTTTCAATTGGTATCAGAGCAGGTTTCACATATTTGCTTAATAACTAGTGAGCAAAGATCGTGCCAAATCAAATAACCGCTGGTGCACTATTTAAAGAAGGGACATCTCAAGTAAGACTACCATATTTCAATGGACAACACTTCTCCCACTGGAAAGTTTGCATGAAAATATATGCAAAGTCCTACGACTTCAAAATGTGGCGTGTAATCAAGAAGAGAAACTATCCACTTCCAGCAGCAAAGTCTAATAAGAAAGCTGAAGGAAAAACATCCACTGATCCAGAAGATATAGACGGTTATTCTGATGAGCAAGTGGCTGTAATCCAAGTCAAAGTCAAGGCACAAAATCTTCTATATAATGTTATCAGTGGAGAAGAATATTAGAAAATTTTAAGTTGTGATACAGTTAAGGAAATATGGGATAAACTGGAAGCTACCTATAAAAGAACGAGCAAAGTGAAAGAAACAAGGATAAATTTGCTAGTTCATGACTATGAGCTCTTCCAGACGAAAGAAGGTGAATCCGTTGAAGAAATGTTTGTACTAGTCAGCAAAATCATTGGAGATCTAAAAGCCTTTGGTAGACCACGTTCCAGTGGTGAACAAGTTCGAAAAATCCTAAGAAGTTTGTCTACTACATGGTAGACAAAGGTAGTTGTACTTGAATCTCAAGATCTGGACAACCTGTCATATGATGAATTGCGTGGAGACCTTATATCTTTTGAGAAAATACATCTCAATAAACGTGGTCAAGAAGAAAAGAAGAAAATCGTTGCTTTCAAAACCAGAACTGAAGGATCTGAAATGACAATGATGACAATGTATATGCACTGGAAGAAGAAATTGCCATGGTCTCAAGGAATATGAATGGACTGATAAGAAGATATAGAAATACGAAAAAGGGAATAATGTCATCTAGAAGAACCATGCAATTCAATGAACATGACAAAAATGATGGAAAATATTTTAAATGTGGAAGGTATGGTCATGTTCAAGCTAAATGTTTAAAGCTCAAAAGGAAAGTCTCTAGAGGTTTTACCAAGAACAAATCCTTCGGAAGCTGGATTTCACAACCCAAAATCTCACATGTTGTGATGACGCCTATAGAATTACTAGGCAAGCCAACAATTCACAAATAACACACAACTTTAATTTAAAACATACTGAAATAAACTTAAGTAGTAAAAATCTCATAATTAACTGATAAGAAATACCATGACTCAATACAAAATCCCCCAAGAATCTGAGTATCATTGAGTACATGAGCATCTAAATGACTACATAGTCTGACTGCTAAAAATACTGTCTAGAAAGATAGAACAGTAGAAATAACTGAAAAGAAGAAGAGTCAATGTTTGAAGACACCAAGGCAGCTACCTCAATAGTCTCCAACAGATAAAGCTCCAAAGCTAGCAGACTCCGTACTCAGAAGTACCTGGATCTGCGCATAAAGTGCAGAGAGTAGTATGAGTTCAACCGACCCAATGTACTCAATAAATAACAAGATTAACCTTTGGCTGAAAGCAATGACAAGCTCAGACTGGTACAGTCCAAATACAGATTAAACAATACAGAAATGTAGACATGCTTTCAAGTTTAACAGTTTAAGTTCAACATGGATAAATATGTCAAGTGTGACTGATATGAGGAACGATATAACAATATACCTACATGTCAATTATGCATGTCAACTGCAATGCAACACAATGATAAAGTCATATGCAATCTCGGAGTATTAATTCACGCAATCCTCACAGCATTCAGTCCTCACAGTCACTCAATCCTCCCAATCGCTCGTCACTCGCACTCAGTAGGTATATGCGCTCACTGCTAATAAGTCAGACTCCAGAGGGGCGGATCCTGCCCAAGTGCTAATATAAGACAATCATGGCATGAATCAATAAAACCTGTTGCGGCGTGCAGCCCGATCCCATAAACATCGCTCAAAATCAGGCCCTCGGCCTCATTCAGTCATCAATCTCTCCAGTCTCTCGGGCTCACAAATCTCATGACAATCGACCCAAACATTGATAATATGATGTATCAATAAATGATAATAGATACTGAGATATGATATGCAAATGATAGATGTGACTGAGTACATAATTTCAAATTAGGCAAGTAATTCAATAGAAACACGACCTCTGCGGGTCCCAACATTACTAACATATAACCTAAGCATAGTTTCTAACATGAATCACAGCTTAATTTTACTAATACATGGAGAATACATGGATAATAACAAGATTATATGACTACACAGTTCCACGGAATCGACCTAGTCACAATTTCTATGGTGCAAGCCCACACGCCTGTCACCTATCATGTGCGTCACCTCAACACAAACCACATAACATGTAATTTAAGGATTCATACCCTCATAACCAAGTTTAGAAGTGTTACTTACCCCAAACCGTATAAATCTCTACTTCAACAAGCCCTTGTCTCACGAATAAGCCTCCAAACGCCTCGAATCTAGCCACAATCAACTCGATACAATTAACACAAGCTATAAGAATCAATTCCATATGATAAAGCTAAGTTCTTTAATAAAAGTCAAAAAGTCAACCCTGGGCTTATGTCTTAGAATCAGATAAAATTAATAAAATATGAACACCCATTCAACTACGAGTCCAACCATACCAAAATTACTCAATTCCAATCACAAATCGACCTTCAAATCCTCAAATTAAAGCCTATGAAGTTTCTACAAATTTTCCCCAGTTTTTCCAACCCAAGACACTAATTAAATGATAAAATCAATGATATATTCATGTATATTAACCAAATCCAAGTTATAAT